GACTAAATTAGTTGTCAAACGGGCACATGAGAAACCGTTACTAATTGTTTTCAGGCGAGGACTAAGGGTGGCTATTAGGAAGCTGCAGCTCGTCTGTGAGGTTCCGATAAAGTCTCGACTGAATCAGTGCATTGCTCTTCGTATTTTGCCCTGTTCTTGCTGTGTGTGGTTCAGCTATTAGAGTAAAACAGTTCAGGTCACAAAATCAGATACCGTATTAAACCGGAAGGCCAAAAGCTTGTTCTTTGATGTGGTCTTCCGTTCAAATTTCGGAGTACATGACACTTCCATTCATGACGTAAACTGCGGAATTTTAGCTGAAAACTATGTGGAGCCCCTGCTCTTGGGGCCCATTTTTCATGGCCATCAGATGGAATATTTATCCACCGTCCTTTCGTTTAATCAGACTTTCAAATACACGGCTTTCGATAAAACACTGAAACTGACCGTTTGCTGAAACGAAGGCTACATTGCGATCATAGTAAGACGTTTGGTATCCGTATGGCTCCAAATGAGGCATGCCAAAGTCCTGATCTGTCTGAATCTAGGATTAGCCCCGTAAACTGCATGAGGCTTGCCTGATGTTTGCTTCTAAGGAATGCAGCCCTAAGCAGATCCGTTGGGGCGACTGAAATGGCGACCTCATGCGTGGCTGTTACAATGTGCACCCGGTGCTAGATTGTTGGCTGACTCCTATTTCTTTGTGACACGGGCTGTCCTTTTGGTGACCGGGCAGTGATTACATGGAGCGCATTGGTTTCGCCTTTCCAAATCGTAAGATATGACTGTTCACCGTGACGCGCATCGCGGTAGCTCCGCACGTGCGTTGCGGGTGACAGATGACACACGGACTTCGGCAAAACCTGAGGGGTTTCCGAGCCTTCATGGCTGCTTAGCGCAGATCTCAGGACAACGATGCAGATCCAAGTAAGGTACCCACACTCATGAAAGAGACACAGTGTGATAGAAATCCAAGACCCCGGGACACCACAGGCAGACTCTCATGTGATTACCAGGGACGTCCCGGTCCTCATCGCTCGGACGTCTCTGAGCGTTCAGCGATTGGTGCCGGCACACCGAAGGGTACTGGCGCCGATGTCTAGGCGATGGATCAGATGGAAGGCGATGCCGATTCAGAGGAAGGCGATGCCGATCTCAGATGGAAGGCGATGCCGATCTCAGAGGGAAGGCGATGCCGATCTCAGAGGGAAGGCGATGCCGATCTCAGAGGGAAGGCGATGCCGATCCCTCGCGTGACAGCACCAAAGGGCTATCACCAGTTTCAGAAAACTGGCGGTGCCACCGTTCCAGAGAGGGCTCTCCCACTTCCCCCTCCTGCAGTTTGCATGTCCGTGGTGACCTTGGCGACCATTCCGACTGCTGACCCTGGCGATTTATCGGCAGATCTCGGCAACAGCAACTTGTGCGGCGACGACGTGTCTGACTGCCCTGACGGCTGCGGCTTTGTGCGTCGCGACCACCGCTGTGTCTACTGCCAGTGCGGGGGTTCAGAGCCGGAGCCGGAGGAGCCCGCTCCCAGCGAACCGGCCGAAGAGGAGGCCGAATGAGGTCGGATCGCGTCCCGCCGATGGCCAAACTTTCGCGTGTTTTGATTTCCCATGTGTGTCATTTCAGTATTCAGTTCGCTGAGGATTAAATACATGCCGACTTCGTCTCTGCGGCTGTGTGGTGTTTTGGGGATGAGGAGTCGTTGGGGTGACGTCCAGCGGTGTGGAGATGAGCGATGATAATGGCTGGTTTTACGTAATATCATCGGCATGCTGGAAATCTGCCAGACCACAGACATCCGGCATGTGCAAAAAACACTTGGCTGGACCGCGAAGGGAGCTTTCAGCTTATGACGTGCTGGGTGTGACAATATCGAAACTGGGCTTCGTTGGTGAAACCGGTAATGTTGCTTGCCTTCCCTTGTTTCCTGATGCCAGGTGCATGATCCATGGCTACAGCAACAATTGGCACATAGCCACAGACAATGATATCAGGTTTCACGTATGGAAATACCGTATGCGACACAAAATTTCCGGCCGATTCTTACATGATTCACTTTGATCCAAACAAAGCCGCAATACTTTGTCTCAGGTAATGCACGTCGTCACAAAAGCAGAGATGTAAGGTAATGCAAATCGCAACAACTCTGGGAACGTAGAGAAACTTCGCGCAAAAATATAAAACCTCAGTATTTAAACATAAATCAGGACATTCGCCAAGCTAAGCCAAATTTATTGAAATGGAGCGCGGTGTGAAAAGGCAGCAATTTCGAAAAGGTGCATTTCCAAAGGGTGCGTACACCTCACTGGCTAGCAGGCTGTTGTGCTAAGTCGTCCTTGCTCCACGTTCCTCACACTGGCGAGAGAGCCCGTCTCCAAGTCATAATTTGCCAATCGGAATTGCATTGCAGATTTTTCGGGCTTTCACTTTCACGAGGAAATTGTCCGTAAGGATCATAATCCGCTTCATGTTTGCGCCTCCTTGCCGACAAGAAGATCTCCTTCTAGGGCTGCAAACCGGATTTCGTAATGGCACGGGATGCAGTTCAGGTTTGCGCCGAGTCCAGGTTTCAGTTGGGGCCTCCGAGGCTTCAGTTCGGGCCTCTGAGCTGTGCCTGCCGTGAGCGGGGCCACACCTGCGGCATGGCCTCCAACAAGTAGTGTGCTCTCGGTTTAACTATTGTTCACATCTATTCTGGCTGTTTATGTTGTGAATGAATTATGAGTCAGTATCAATTCACGCAATAACTTTGAAAGGTTAGGGCATATGCGCCCGCCGCCTGTTACCATGCGAGTGCGTGCCCGCGCGGGTCCCATCCAAGGCCGCACTGAGCTGGCATCTCTGCCAATGCGATTCAAGCCTGGTGCAGTTGACGTGCTCACGTTCCCCTAGGCGATCTGGGGTGCGTCGCGCTTTTCTGCTGACGCGCGGGTCGGCAAATGTCACGGCGGCTTGACCTCACGTAACGGTGAGGTAAGGGGAGCTGGCCTTCGCGTCACGTTGTGCAAGTTGTTGGATGGAATTAATACACGAGTGGAATTGCACGGCTATCCGAAAAGCTGATGCTACTCATCCGCCGTTTATGAAAGAATGCTGCTTGAGTGGTACGTGGCTTTTAAGAGAGCGTACTCCTTCTGTCGGAGACAGCTTGCATGTGGGAAAAGAATGTCATGGAACTTTTCTGTCGTGATCTTGCACAACTTAGATTCAGTCAAATGACTGAATACAGTCAAACAGTCAAACTGAGCAGGTCTGCACCTTGCGATTTGTTGTTGAGCTGTGTAAATGATGGTGTGAACCATGCTTCTGCTCGGATAGCAATTATCTCGAACATCTGCGTTGCACTTAGCAATACATGGCGCACGCATGATGCACGTGACAAGAAGCCTGCAGTAAAAAAGCTGCAGCTCACAACGGAGAGCGCATTCACGGCTGGCAATGATATCTCGGGCTCGCTGGTACATTTCAATCAACAATCTGAGCACAAACCGCGTATATCCGGCTGTGAGTGATGGTGGTACCAACGCAGCGTGGCGTCTCTGCTCGAAACAGCTCCCCTTCGAGGCAGACTGTGCCGCCTGGTTTAAAAGGACCACGCCATTGGCTGACATCTCTCGCTGCCTCGGGCTGTGCTTCGTGACCTCTGGGTCGCCCCTCGAAAGGCGTGTCAGTCTGTGCCCGTGCTCGACGCTGGGTGGTGTCGCAGGGGATGTGTTGCGGGCGGAGGCCCCTGACAGTGGACATCGTTTCTGGAGCGAGAAGGTGAGTCATGTAGCAGCGTGGGAGCCAGAAGGTGAGTCATGCAGCAGAATTGGAGCGAGAAGGCGAGTCATGTAGAAGCGCTGAGCTGTGCAACTCTGCTCAGCGTTTCGTTAGTATTATCGGCCTGTTACGCAGGCTGGAAGAGGCTAAATGGCCCATTATACCCACGTGTTGTCGAAAATTTGGAGAAGTAGCATCTGGACGATGGGTGCATCTCTGGCAGCGTACAGCTGTGGCCGTCTGCACCAGCGTAGTCTTGCTACAATGCTGATCACGCCGCAGAAGGGAATGATCTACCACAACAGGTCTGTTGCGGTGCTCGTTGCTGTAGTGGTCTGCAGAAAGGTTTCATAATTTGTGAATTGTTGTGGTTCACTTCATCATTTGTAGTATGCAATGGACTGCGTGCACCTGAAATGTTATTTTAGCTTTGGTCCTCGTTTCGGGCCGTTTGAATTGGGTTATTGTACAGATACTTTAACTCGTGGTAAAAATATTTGTACCGATGGGTGGTTTAATAGTAGGAAACTCGTTGAATGTTTTGTGGCAATGTCTACAAAACTGGCAAAAATGGTACGGGTGAATGGTATGGTAAATACTCTGCACAGTGGTACGGATACCAAATGGCATGGTTACTAAATGGCAATTGACTTCTGAAGCTTCGGGCGCAGAAATTTCTCTAACAGTTGGGTGGGGATGGGATGGGTGACGCTTGGATGGCTAACGCGCGCTGGCGGCGTTTCAGCCTGTAACAAAGCAGGATGCGGGGCCTGCCGGTGCGCCGTGCTGGGTTTCTTTCTGCCGCGGTCGCCATACCGCTGCAGGAGCACCTGCGCATCCAGTCTGCGTCATCGCCCCAGTCATCAGCGGCCAGTTCGATGTTCGGCCAATTCGGGCCGCCCGACGTCCAGCCGGGCCCGAACGCAACGCCATCTGGTGAGACCGTTTGGAAGGTGAAGTTCGCCCCCGCGGTCCATGTTCGGTTGAGTGCACGTTTGGCGGTGTTGACTACTGCCACGACTTCACTTTTGCTCATGATCCATTGTATCTGTACGACATCGCAAACATTTGCACATGCCTGCCTTTGATCACCTTTTTGTGGCCTTCGCGGTTATTTATTTTGTGGTCTTTAGCCACTGTTTGTCCCTTGTGTCCATCTGCTGAACGCTGTTGCCGCCCTGTTCCAGCCGGGGGCCAGTCTACTGCAGAGCAGCCGGCCAACGGCGGCGGGCAGCGGACAACTGAACAGGGCTCTGATATCTCTGCTGGCTCCTGCCCTCCCGACAGCGCCTGCGTCCCCGCCTCGCTGTGCTCGTCGGGTAGGGCCGGCCTCTCGCGGTTCTTTGATGCCCATTGCAGGGGGGCGGGGCGGCACTTGGCGTGCCTCGTTTGAAAACATCACTCATTGGGTGTCTTGAATCTCCACACGGTCTTTTAAATGCACTCAAGTCCAATCCATTGTGGCGTCCAATTGCTGCTCGTGTCCAATTGCTGCTGTCTGGTTCGTGAGAAGTATATGGAAGTTGAAATCACTCCAGTACCAGAACTTGAGCACTGTATCCTAGCGTAACAGCAAGGCATTTGGTGAACATTGCTTGCTGGAATGCGCACTTGAATCTATATGTGGTGCACTTCGCCAAGATTGTTGCCCATGTCTACGTTCCGCCCTCGTCAGTCGGTGTCGGACTGCGCCGCATATTGTCTCGCATTGCCCACCTGTTGCAGCGGACGCGATCACCTACGAACCGGACACAAACATTTATCACCCGACGTCGCAGTACCAGCCGGCCTTTACACAGGTCGGGCTATAGCCGGCGGCGGTAGGTGCGGCAGAGCTTTTGTTCTTGGGAATGTCTCCTTGCGTTGGTCCCGTTGGAGGAGGTGCAAGATGGCAGCACTGTATTTGTTTTTCGTTTCTTCTTTATAAATGCTCCCTGCTCAGAGCCATAGTGTACGCGTCTGTCGCGTGACCCGGCGCCGTCCGTTGGCAGAGGTTCACGTGCGGCCAGGAGGCGGCGGGCCGGGTCTGTGTCCTGCAGCGGCGGTGCAAAGTTCCCAGACTGATCCCGGCACAAGCAACCCCTTCGGCTTCCCATCCACCCTCGGCACCGACGCATTTCAACACCGCGACCAGCCAGACTCTGTCCAGCCTTCTAGCTCTCCCGGGCAGTCGCTCCCGCTACCCCCGCGGCCCTCGGCGAGGCCCGTATACCTCGAGCGGTCCGATTCCCCGGGCAGTCGTCCCGCTACCCCCGCGGCCCTCGGCGGGGCCCGTATACCCCGAGCGGTCCGATTTCCGGGCAGTCGCTCCCGCTACCCCCGCGGCCCTCGGCGGGGCCCGTATACCCCGAGCGGTCCGATTCCTCGGGCAGTTTCTCAGACGTCCAGTACCCGCCTGCCGTGTCTCAGCAGCCCCTCTCGGGGGGATCTAGCTTCTTCCCCCTCCGGAGGATCGCAGTCTGGCTTCCAGGGCTCTGTGCACGTTGGGGCGGGCGTCGGATCGACCGGTCTGCCGCAGTCATTCGCGGGGCCCCTCCCGCCCGCCCACTCCTTCGCCGGTACAGGTCAGGACAGTGTCCCAGGTCCTGCCCAGAACGGGCAGGGCTTTGGTGGGATCTCCCAGGGCGATGGTGCAGGCGGCGTCTCGCAGCACCAGACTCGTGGCGGACTTCGGCAAAATGGAGGCTTCGGGGGACCTGTCCAGAGCTCTGCTCCAGGAGGGTTTTCCCCGAACCAGGGCTTCAGCGTGCCTCAGAGCTCTGGGAGCTCCCACGTCGGCCAGGGACAAGACGGCCGTCTCCCCAACCAGTTCCCGAGCGGCTTGCCCCACAGCCAGCCGGGCGGCCTTCCGCCACGTCCCAGCAGCCTTCCCCCTTCTCGCCGTCCTCCCGCTCGCCCAGTGGCGCCGCTGCCGGGCGCGGGCGGCCGGCCGCGGCGGCTGCAGCAGGTGGTCGTCCGCGGCCAGCGCCACACCGTACCAGAGTTCAGCTCTCTGCTCCGGCTCGAGGGCGGCGCAGAGGCGTTCGTCACGCACGGCGTGAGTCTGGTGCAGCTGGAGCGGCGCGCCGACCCCGACTTCGCGCCGACCGGGCGCCACCAAATGGTGCTGCTGAACGGCCAGCGCTACCAGACCGGAGAGTTTGTGTACGTCTCTGACCCGAGTGACGTGCCGATCCTGTTCACCACCGCCGGCGTGCCCACATCGGTTAGTGCGCGTGAATGCTGCCTGAGTGTGGTGGCATTCGACTGCAGGTCTGGGGCTCACTTACGTTTATGTGGAGGTTGATTTAAATGAAGCGCATACGCGTTCAATCACTGTCTAGCAATGCCTGGGTGCGATGTTTTCGACATTTTTCAAACAAACTTTCACAACGGGCGTGCAGCACCTGATGGTCGCGTTAGTGTTCACCAGAAAATGACTCCCATTTGCAATCCAATTGTTTTACTGAGTGCGGCACGGCGTTTTGCTGGCTCTGTTTTAGCCGGCTGTTTTTTTTTGCTGCCTCAGTACTCCACCACGGGAGGGGAGCCGGGAGACCTGCAGCCGTTCACTCCGCTGCCGGAGCTGCTGATGTTGGCCGCTGAGGTCCTCCGGTCGGCTGGGTGAGCTGAAGGTGCAGCTGAAGGTGCATCTGCTGTTCCAAGTCATGGGCTCTGGTTTGATGCCTGTTTAGGACGACCACACGGCACAGTAACTTGGAATTAATTATCGTCGCTACCTGGATGGGTTAAATGAGCCAGATAAGAGCGGGCACGTTCTGCACGATCATTGAAGAACTGGTTTCCTGTTAGATGTCCGCGTTTCGAGCCACCGGGCGTCTATTTTGCAGAGACACTGCTGTCACGTCTGGATCTCCGGTGGCGGAAGTGCCCGTGCCTCTGCCGCGTCCGTCGCCGCACGTGCAGCCTCCACGCCTGCCTCCCTCGGCGGCTGTCCCCGGCGCCTCCCACTGGCCGGCGGCGGCGTGTTCTTCGACACTGACCGGGATGGACCCGGTGGCGATGCCTTTGGACGTCCGGACCACGGCTTCGGTGTCGCGCCCGGGCTGGGAGGGCATCCCGCGCACCCGGGCCTGGGTGCGGCCCATCACGAGGAGTACCACCCGCCGCCGCCGGCGTACGGTCCCCCCGCCGTACAGACACCACGGTCACCAGCAGGGTCGCCATCCGCCAGTGCACCACCGTCCGCCGCCCCCGTACGGTCTCTGGCAGCCGCATCCCGCACGTCGGTACCCACCGCCGCACGGGGTTGCGATCCGGCCTCAATTCCAGAGGCCGTACCCGCCCCGGCTGAATCCGTGAGTTTGACTAGAGATTTTCTCCGAGCTGCGTCAATCTTTTTTCATTGTCTCCTTCATTGCGTCGGCATCCAACAGAATGTCGTCCAATGCATTGGATAGTATTATATTCCCATGTGGTTATCGAATCTGTAAGTGCCTAAATAGACTCGTACACTGCGACTTCCATTGGCCTATAGGCTAGCATAGACCCGTACTGGCCAAGCTAGCTACCCATTCTAAAGCTGTAAGTGACAGTGCTGTCGAATCGCTTTGCAGCAGGTCGCCTGTCGCAGTTAGGTCGGGTAATGCGGTTTCATTGTAGCCTTCCCGGCTTTCGCAATGAAGTTTGTTGATCTGCCCAGGCTGCTCCCGTTATTGCCCACCACCTGCGGGACCCGGGGCCACCTCTCTGACATCTACGAGTCCGTGTTCGGGGAGTTCTCTGGGCGAATTTCCTCCGGCTACGGGCTGGAGCCGGGCGTAGCAGACTACGCCACCTTCCCTGGCACGTAAGTAGGGGAAAAACTGCAGGGCAAATTTTGCTCACGCGCCACAGGCGGGCGGGCCGGGCCATTCATCAACATCTTGTTGGTGCAGTGTACGGTGTTTTGTGTATACTAA